CGTGCGTGAAGAGTGGAGAGCTCCTTTCACACTCCACCCAGGGCTGTTGTGCGTGAAGAGGTGGATACTTTCGTTTGCACCTGGCCCGAAAACGAAATATGTAGGTTGGTGAGGGGGGGCGAAGTGCTCTCTCTCTCTCTCTCTCTCTCTCTCTCTCTCTCTCTCTCTCTCTCTCTCTCTCTCTCTCTCTCTCTCTCTCTCTCTCTCAGCGGCATTGTGCGGAAAGAGTTGGAGTGTTCCTTTCACACTGCACCCAGTGCTGTTGAGCGTCAAGAGGTGGAGAGTTCTGTTCACACTCGGCCCAAAGCGAAACAGGTAGGTTGGCGCGATTTGGCAAAGTGCTCTCTGTCTCTCTCTCTTTCTCTGTCTCACTCGGGCCAAAGCAAAACAGCTGGGTTGGTGCTGCAAGGCTGCCGTCAACTCATGTCGTTAGATGTTGGGTTACGTCCCATAACAAGCGGAACCCTTGTTTTGTGTTGCTAGACATGGCAACCATTGAGCGGTATGGGGCAGAAATGCTACTGTGCACAGTGCGTGTTCGTCTCTGTATCAATTTCTGGACACGGTGAGATGTAACGCCTTCCGGAGTTGGTAATAATGGAGTTATTGATTGTAAAGTCCAGGTTCGCCTCGGATCACCACTACTGTCAGGCCTGCCAGCCTTTCTTTCGGCCGGAACATCATTGCAGGCAGTAAGCACCCTCAGCCCCTATGTGCTTGACCTAAATGTACCCTAGATTCAGTCCGCCACCATGATATACACACTGCTAACATGGTGCCTCTCCATATTGCTGGAAAATCCTGACCGGGTTGTTATGCACTTATCTATATGCCTGTTACCATAATGCTTATTTTGCAGTGCAACAACTCTTTTTTTTTTTTTGTTTTTTTTTTGTTTGTTTATTTATTTGTTTGTGTAAATGCACCCGTCGGTGCTAGTGGTACTGGTAAGAGCAGACACCGCTAGCACCTGGGGAGGGCTCCATCTATTGGTGGGGAGCAGCACCAACAACTCAAAGAAAGACAATGCCATTCAATTGCAACTGAAATGAAATACCTTGGAAAGAGAAATAGACAAAGGAAGAAGAAGAAATAAGAATGGAAGACAAAGAAGAAGAAGAAGAAGAAGAAGAAGAAGAAGAAGAAGAAGAAGATAAACACCAGCAAAGACCAATGTCAATCCCGTTTCATCTCACCACCATCTCCAACCTCCAATTACTCCCCCAACTCTTCATTACAATTAACAACAATAATTATTATAATAATAACAATGAAAGAATGAATCAGAACCAATGTCTGAATCCTTCCCTTGCTGCCAGCCACTCAAGAGGTCCACTATAGCCATCTCTAGCACTACCCCCCAAGTCTTCCTTGCAGACGCCAACCCCAACGGAAGCCTTCCAGGTGCAGTGCCAACCAAAAAGATGAAGACGACCACCATAACCAGGTAAGCTCCCTCGTCACTCTCTTCCTTGCTCTCCATCTTCCTCCTCCTCCTCCTCCTCCTCCTCCTCCCCCAGAGTCTCCTCCTTGGTCCTCTTCAGCATAGCTGAGGTGGAGGGCCAAGCTGGCCTTCTTCCTCCCCAGCATTGCTATGCCGAGCACTCGCTCCAGCAGTGCGTCGCCAAACTTGCACACAGCAAAATGAGGCTGAGCCTTGCCTCCAGCAAATATATACTGGAATACTGGCTCGTCGCGCGTTGGCTTCGAGGCTGTGCAGCCTCCCAAGTCTACCAGTACCTCCACGAATTGGAAGGAAAATCATAAGACGTTAACAGGGACCCCCACTTTTTGGCCCCAGTTAACCCCCTCAACCCTGAAAAGTGCATTGGAGATCATTTTTTTTAGTTTTTTCTGTTTTTTCCCCCCTCTCCATTGCAGACTGATATTCCCCTCCACAGGCCCCAGACACAGACTATTGGACCGGTACCCCTAGAATGTAAGCCCACGGGACTTCTAAAATTCGCTTTGGCCTCTAATAAAGGTATACTAACTTTTTGTCTTCTTCTGCCTACCTAGTACCTACCCACTACTCAAGTGTTTTCCAACTTACACAGGCCTAGCCTACTTGCTAATTCCTCGCTGCATCATCACAACAGCACGGCCACAGGTAAGTACCAGGCCCGTGGGCCTTCCCAGCACACAAGCACCCTGGCGGGTCACACACGCACCCAAGCAATCATGCAGTCAGGCAAACACACGGAAACTCAGCAATCATGCATGCAGACATAGGCTTACCACACAGGCTGTCGAATGTCGAAAATTTTCGACAGGTGTCAGAAAATTTCTGACAGTCGGGCGGTCGACAATTCCCCCCCCCCCTTCGCCACACAGGCTGTCGAGGGCCAAGGTTTTTGGTCATGGCCAGGCGGACAGGTTTCACGGAAGTTGACGGAACAGTCCCTGACAACGCAAATTCGAACGCAATTTTCGAAAGGTCGGCGGGCCACTGTCGAATTTCCGTCACCTGCAGGCTGGTGGAAACGATTGCTGGATGGCGGCTGTCGAAAGGACCATTCTGACACGTCGAAAGTTTTTTGAGCCGCAATTCTTCGAAAGTCTGTGTGGCGATGCAAAATTGTCGAAAACCAGGTTTTCGACAGCCTGTGTGGCGAGCCTCTTAGAAATCTCAGGAAGAGAATACGGGAGTCTCAGCAAGTCACTCAGTTCAGCGGCGAACCTCAGAAAACTGCAGGTTTTTCAGTCTCTGACTTTGCCGCCATACTGCCCAATTTCCGTCCTACCCCTGTGCCGACAACTACTTACAGTTCTGTCCTTGGCAATGTACTGCACGAGAACACAGGCACAGGTTCAGTCTCAGAGAAGACTTGACCGCCACTTGGCGGCGGTCTTCCACACGACGTTTTTCGAGGGTGAAATCGCCAGTACACCCGGGCCTGCAGGTGCCTTACGGCGCGCCAAGCTTTTCCGAGCCGCCAGCGGCACACTTTTTTTTTTTCGTTTTTGGCTGACGCCCCCAGCGATTGTGGTCAGATAGGCTGAGCCTCCGAAAATTTTGAAGGTTGACGGGTTTCTTTTTCAGCAAGGCTGGGGCCGTGTACTGGCGGCTTAAGAGCCTGTTGAAGTCATTGCCAAGCTCATGGGAAAAACGTTTTTCGAGCACTCTTCCGAGCAGTTTTTGAGGAATGGCAGCATAAGTCCTATCGCTGTCCAATTTCCATCTTACCCCTGTGCCCAAAGCTATCTACAGATCCGTCCTTCCGGATGCGTACCACAACAACATGGGCGCAGGTTTAGTAGCCAGACATATGCAGACTTAACCGAAGGGCATACATTCACAGACGGGCAAGCCAAGAACTCTCAAACACAGATCTCAACGACCAGAGCGCAAAGTTTTCCCACTGTCAAATTGCGCTGCTCATTGCGATAATGGTTTACTGTTTCTCTATTGAAGGCTGCTGTCTTCACCCAAATAGAATGCCTGGTCATTATTGCTATATCTAGGCAGAAAGCTGCCCCAAATATAGCTTCAGCCTTCAGTGACCGAAGGTTTTGGATGAAGACAGTAGTCCTTTGCAAGTTCCACTCCTGTTAGACATAGTACTGCTATAGTCATCATCCGAACAGAGTGCCCGGTTATTATAGCGGCATTTGGGGCAACTTTCAGTCCAGATGCAAGTGATAATGACCAGGCGTTCTATTCGGGTGAAAACAATAGGGGTTGTCCCTTTAAAAGGGAAAAAAAAAAGAAGAAAACTAATGGAAGAACTCCGAAGAAGGGCAAAGAAAACATGCACAAATGGGAAAAGGGAGGAAAAAAAATGAAACACGCATGACTGGTTGCACCTTAACTGTCACCTTAAATTAAGTTAAATAACTGCAAACAGTGATTAGACACCGTAAAACCTTGCTAGCATTCAACAAAAAAATGTCAATATTAATAATTATTATCAGGGTCACCAGCCCGTACGTACGGAGGTCCCCAAGCCGACCTCCGTACGTACGGGCGTTCGGCGTCCGAACCGGAAGGCGTTCGGCCCCCGCTGAAAATTATTTCGGGGCCTAAAAACTATTTTTTTTTCTGTATTTTTGTTTGTGAGTTCTCTATGATGTGACGTACATGCCTATACATTTTGAAGTCATTCTGCTAAGCCAAACAAAAATTAAAAATCGCCAAAGATGGCGGTGTCAAAGCGTGCTCGCCCAATCACTATTTTGTTTTTTTTCACTTTTTGCTTTTTGTTTTCACTTTATTGCGGGGCGTAAACAATTTTAGTATTTTTTAAAACTTTTTTAATGAAATTTGTATTATGTGAAGTACACATCTGTAAATTTTCAGGGCATTTGACTGTGCCAAAAAACAATGAAAAATCGCCAAAGATGGCGGTGTCGAAACCGTGCTTGCGCACTCACTAATTTTAATTCTCTTTTCATTTTTTGCAAGGAATATGAGTGGGAACGATATACAGAAAACCAAGTTGCGAAATCACACAGATGTCCAGGTAGTCGTGTACAAGCAGAGAGCACAGATGCACCGAGATCCCATACAAATAAGAGCAATACAATGAAGTAATGAGCCAATGTTCAAGCCCTCAGGCCACACCAACACAGTATCCAAAGTCGCTGCTTTCTGTCTGGTGCCCAGCGCCTATCCTACTCTACTCGACTATCCTACCTACATCAGCATTCTCGCAACAGGCTCACTTCGACTCTCGAAGACCAATGTACATGACGTCAACACCATAGCCGACCTCTTCCATGTACCAGGTACGTATCTCGCTTCCCCTCATCAGACCCTGTCCACCCACACTCGCCTCCTTCCTGAAGACCACCGATCGCCCTTCTTACCCCCTAGCGCCCTGCAGCCCGGCTATGGCTGCTTGCGCTCTGCTGCCCAGCAGCGCCCCTCTTCACCACACACGCGCCCGCACGTGCTCTGGCCTCAGCGCAGCATGCAGACTCTAACGCAGCAGCGCAGCAGCGTGACCGCATTGCCTGCGTGGGCCAGAATGCCGTGCCCTGGCTGTCCTCCTTCCTATATGGAAGTGGCAGCCTCTGCGTGGCTGCGTGTGGCCTGGCTGGAAGCTTCCAGGAGCTTCCGGTTGGGCCCCAGTGTCTGCGCCCGGGCCCAAGGCCCTTTACAGCTGGGCACGGCCTGAGTCTCCAGACTTGGGCCGTTTCCTGCATTTGCACAGGACCCCGGGGTATGTACGTCGACAGAGCTGCTTTTGCATAGGCCTGTAGCCACTTCGTGATGTATCGGCCCTGCATTGTGTGTATGTGCCCAGGCGCAACTGCCAAGGCCTGGGCCAACTGTATGACGCAGGTTAGTGAGGTTCACACGTCCACTCAACCAACTGGCGGGCTGCAACAGCCTGAGTGCCCACATATGAAAATGTCGAATTTTGGCCTCTGATGAATATTCAGGCCCGCCTTCACTTAGGGCGGGCACTCGGCTTGCTGGGGGCCTCTGCACAGAACATGTGCATGTCTGAGAGGGGCCCCGTGGGGCTCGTTCCTTGCATTTTCCTTATTTTTATTATTAGTTTTATATATTTTATTTTATGTATTTTATTTTTATTTCAAATTTGGTAAAGAAGGTCGATGTAATGTTCAGGCAAATGTTGTTTATTTTATTTTTCTTCATAACATATGTTTTCTCCAGTTTTTTTTTTTTTTTTTTTTTTTTTTTTTTTTTTTTTTTTTTTTTTT